TAATACAGTATATATCTCTTTAAATGTCATTCACCACTATCTCTTTATAAAAATAAATAAAAAAAAATCACAGTATTTTTAAAAAAAGTTCACAGTAATATGAGCACTTTAGCACCTTCACAACTTACTCTTATAAATGCATAATATTCACCAGCATCAAAATAAGATAAATCATTTATTATCATTATTTTTATTAATCACTATTAATTTTTATTAACTGTCATCTATATTTCAGGTCACAATTAAACCTATTCACACGGAGGTGGAGGAGCTAAAGGCCATGCTTATCCACCCTGAGAGGTGGTACACATCACCATGGCCACTGATAACCCCCTCCCACACTGCAAGCCCCGCCCCCTAGCCTGCACACATGGGAGAGGTGTGACATGGCTGGGGAGCTGGAGGCATCCCGGGCGGCGACTGAGTGGCGTCAACCGCCCGGATGTCACTTCCGCCAACTGCGGAGTGCCGATCACATGTACACGTGACGGCACTTCCGCCAACCACTGTGGAACCCGCAGAATACTTCCGCCAACCACCACTGCCCACCAATGGGAATACTAGAAAATATAGGCGCCCACAAGCCACCAATGAAAATAGAAGTTAAAAAAGGCACTCACAGCCCCCCACCAATTAAAGAAACACATACATATTTGTTTATATTTGTTATATGTTAACTAAACTGTGATTGGACTAAATATATCCAGCCCATTAAGGGGGAAGATCCAGAAGGCATTTAAAAAATGGAAGATTTGGAGGACTCACACTACAGCTGACTGAGGAAGCTCTATTCAAGAGTGAAACGCGTTTTGGCTATTTTTAAAAGGACTTTTACTGAGGACTTTTTATATCCATTGTTTTTATATTTTTTTATACATATGTTATATTAATAAATTTGTTATTTTACTTTTAAGTCTTTTCAAGTCCTTTTTTGGAGCCTCCAAAAGAATCTGCATAGGGACAGTGCCATCCCCATTCAAATCGGCACAGAGTTTATATACCTAGACCCAGGATCCATAGGCTCAGGACCAGGTGAGCACCACATATATATATATATATATATATATATATATGTTTGTGCTTTCATTAACAATATCTACACATTGGTATGCTTTCCCTCTGTTTTTGTTTTTGAGAATTACTCCACACCGAAGCAGAAGGGTGGTGCTACCATTATAAGCACACAAGCTTTGATACGGAGCCAGTGTTTCCATATACAGGCTCCTTGGAATGTGAGTGTACCAGCCATTAAGATTATACCACCATTATTGCACTGTCACTTTGTATATACCATCTGCACTATATTGTATTCTTCTGTATTCTTTTACATGTACCATGATATGAAACAACGCTTGGTAAGCAGTATATAAGTTTGAGCGCTCCACCTATAGGTGTAGGTCCCTGTTACTTACACCGTATTTAAATCTATTATTTTGTCAAGTGGGATAGAGGATATTTCCACACAAGTGTATAGAGCAGCCTGGAAATCACTTGTACTTTGTAAAGCACCCTGTTACACACATTCCTCCGTAAAAAGAGGTCAACTTTGATTGGTATTCAGATCCTGAGAGAGTTGGAGAAGAGGAAGAGATTAAGGAAAGGTAAGTTCAGCATGACAGTGCCGCTTTAAGTATTACACATATCTACATACAGACCCATAGGTCAATGTCCTTTCCTGGCAATTCAAGCCCAGTGATAAATGTAAGTCACTTCCTTCTCCTATAATTCTACTAGCGAGGATTAAAGCCCCAAAACCTGTCTTCTTCCTTTAAGCATAACATTCAGAAAAGAAAGAAGGGAGGGGGACATTTTTATCACCAATTAACATTAATGCGTAGTTGAATTGTCAAGTAGTGTACATCAGTTACAGGAGGCAAACAAAAGACATATCATAGTTAGTATGCATCCCATATCAAACCACACATTGCATAACATGTCATCAACATAATAATATGTACGTGTGAGTGGGTCTGGAATTTTGGTTTGAATTAGGCCTCATGATGGTGTGAGATGCATAGGGGACACCCATTTTCTCCACATGGCCAACCTTTATGGCACCCACTAATCTGTTGCCTAGCCTCGTGCATTTTTACCATGTTTGTGAGCACACTGTGGCCCTGAGGGACGTCTCAAAGGGTTATAGGTAATATCTCTCAGAGGTATGGTTGCGGGGGTTACTACTCCTCCCCATGCAATGTTTTACCTGACTGATCCAAAGTATCTAGTATTAAAGTAAACAAAATTTCTAGTTGGTACGGCCTATACCAGGCTTTCCCAGGCCTTTGTGTAGGCATTGAGTTTTCCATGCAACCTAGAGGCCATCTCCTCATAGGAGGTTGTAGAATTAATTGTAATTGTAGCACAGTGAGAGAGATTTGGTACACTGAAAAACAAGAAGAGTTTACAGGTAAAGGACTGGGATAATATGAGTACTGGATGACCATGAGATAACTGACAGACTAGGAACTAATAATAATAAAATAAATACATTTTATCAGATCTAAAATACAAATATATAACAATGGGTGCTCGTGTACAAAAAGGTGAACAAAATGATAGGTATTAGACCAGTTGCAATACCTAGAGAAGTCCCTATTGACACTGAAAATTCTTAGGACTACCCAAGGTCCATACAGCTCTGATAGGAAACTCGAGTTAGTATAGGTAAAAGATGTGTCAATGGATTATCGTAATAGACTTATCCAGGTATAATACCTATATAGCCTGCATGGGATAAGACCAAGAACCTTAGTATAGATGTCACCAGTAGTCCTAAGATAGATCTCAGTCTATGTAACTCTAATCAACTGCCTTAAGTAGTATGTACGGTAACTATCGATAGATACTGAGTATTAGAGCAGTGGAGGTTTCGAGACTAGCCCAATCAGTCGCGGGATAGTAGTATATAATAGAGTTAGCCTGATAACTGAATTAATTAGCACACTTCTGTGTCCAGATTCGGAACTCCGTCAGGGATGGCAGGAAGGTGATAAAACCTCACTAGAAGGTAATGGGGAGGTGAAAGAGCTGCAAGTGAAATAACAAAAATAAGGAAAAATCCTGTGGCAAAACCAGCCTTGCCACTGTCCACTGGAGGAGCCTGGTTGCTCACCTGCTCCCTTTAGACTATGGCCCGGCAGTTAAAACCTTTTATTTTCCCTGCAGAAAAGCATCTTCGTGCCTTTCTGCGGACTGTTAAAGCCATGCTACCCCAGATAGCTATGCCACGGAGCCCAGCCATATACTGAAAGACGACTGTATGAAAGACTTTGGCTCCATGGCGATTGAACTGTATGTATGTGATCTGAGCGCCATCCGGTAATAATGTGCGCTCAGATCTAAGCTATCTGGGGATAGGTAGAATGTGTATGTTCTATGTGATAAATGTAACAGTATGTAATTTTATGTCTTTTATTGTCCTTTGTCCGCCAGGTGGCTAATGGAGTTTTACCTCTGTCCTTGGAGATAACTGGATTACTTCCCAATTACCTCCAGGACAGAGAGGAGGGATTGTGATGCATTGTGGGAGTGATTGGTCAATGTCCAATATGTTTCACAGTTTTCCATCTGGTCCCCTAGGGGAGTGTCCACCAGGTGGGAGACCTGCATAAAAGCCAGGCAGGTAGCCCCAGTAAATCAGTTCCTGCTTGACCCTCAAAACGAAGTGTCGTCTCGTTATTGGGGGAATTGGATTGTATGCTGATTGCCAGGAGTGTAAGATGATTGTATGCTTTTCCTGTTCGGCTGTTTCCAGTATTCGCGTGTTTCCTGTTCGGGAGTTGGTGAATTCGTGTAGTTTGCAGTTCGGGAGATTGCTGCTTACAGTAGCTGTCGGTGCATCTGGAAAGGGGAATATCACCTAAACAGTTTTTAACCTCTTGTATGCAAAACGGTCCGTTACAAATCCTATATAATAACCATAAATCTATAAATAGAGGTATAGTTCCTCATTCTAATCCTGTAAATCTGTGGTGTCAATGAGGATTGTCAAATAATATTGAGTGCTATAAGGTAGGTAGAGAGGAGAACTAACAGCCTTACAAACCTTTTCAAGATAAATAATAGAGACAGAATGCCTGCACTCCCATCACTCCTGGGCGTCAGCAATGACTACAGTACAAATCAGCTAATACATATAGTAACAACCAAAGAAAAAAAGTTACCTGTGCTCTCTCCTTAATCCCTATGTATATTTAAACAAATAGTTTCCAAACTAATGCTGAAGTATCAATACTTCGTTAAAAGAATCAACAGCATTATAAATAGTGAGGCATACCATGAACAGTAGAATGTTAAAAATAAAACAGTGAGAAATCTCGTAGGGAGAATTGGTCATTGCCAATACATAAAACATGGAAAACAGTAGTTAGTTTAAGTATCTACCACTAGTGTGTGACAGTAAGTGTTAGGCAAACTGGATAGCTCAATATCATCTCACCCTAGTTGCACTATAGGTGAACCTGATTCAGCTTCAGTGTGAATTGTTATATTGACGGTCTAAGCCTTTTATTCTAGAAGGTCCATCCAGGCCTCCTCCCCCTCTTTTATTTATTTATTTATTTTTTAATTTGAATTTTATTGAAAATTTTTAGCGTTAAATTACCATAATATGGGTAAGGTAATTAGGCACTGATGTATTGACACAATTTGACTGTATATGCCATAGATAACAATCTTGCCTAGAAAACATTGTTAAGTTATGTATGGCATAGGTATGCACAAAGAAACATTATGTATGGGTGATGCAAATCAGGAAATAATACAGATGCAGTAAAACGTGTTGAGGACAGTTCTGGTGCCTGAGCACCCTTCTATCGACATTACTTAACATGCCATGTTGGAGTGGCATGAGCCTGGGCGACTGCAGGAGCTTGGGGAGGTTCAACGAGCTTTAGTGGCTCTTTGTATTGAGCCAGCTTGGTTCGAGTCCTGTTATGTGAGTCTCTGAACTTTGAAGTGCCCATCCGAGTGTCGTGGTTTGCTTGAGCTTGTGTCCTTGCCTCTCAGTGTGGGTTGCGCCTGCTTGGTCGATGAATTAAACCTCTGCTGAGACTCAAGGGTGCTGCTGGTTGTGGGCTCTCGGTTGTTCTTGGGTGTCTCTGCTGGTGTCTCTGCAGCGGTTGCTCGTGTGCGAGGTGAGAGCCCGAATTTCTGCAGCAGTGGCTCTGGATCTTCTGCTGACGTCAGTGTTGCTGTTGCGTCTCCACTGGTCCCCTCTTTTATTTTAATTGTATTTTTTTGTAATGTTTTTTTTTTCTCAATTATTTATATTTTTTTTTATTTTTTTAAATGTTTTTATTGGCGAAACCATTTGTTTTATATTGTCAATAATGGTAACATGGGAGGCAGAGGCCTGTATGATAGAAGAAATCGGTATTCTCACCTATACGATGTATTAGTGTATAATGCCCGTCGCCAATGTCATGCCCACATTACATAGGGTAAAGAGGCAGTTTCAATGTGTCATATTGCCTAAGCTAAGCAGGCGCGATAGGTTAACTGATAGGTGGAAGCTCCCTTAGACCGTAAGTTATACACTAATATGTTTTGCACAGGGACATGGATGGAGGACTATGCAGCATATGATGCTATAGGTAACAATACCTCTACCTCAACCATGTCCGCGCGCGATATGGAAGCGGGAGGTTACTGAGGTAATTAAAAACAAACAAAAAAACAGTTGAGGTAGTATGATAATGCCGCTTGTTTGGCATAATAGCAACTTTTGTGTTTAGCTTTTGAGTAACAAAAATGACCTTTAAAAGCCTGTGTTATGAACAAGAACTTCTGTAAACTAAAAAACTTTAAGGAATAAAGAACATTGTGCAATAATGAAATTAGTTTCCATTATACTCAAGTTATTTGTGGAGAGTGTTGTTGCTGTACTGTCATTTTTGGATCTCCCTGCGTGTCTTGGTGCCCGATGGGGAGCCTGCCATTTGCCATTCAGGTTGAATCTTCAGCGAAGAAGATCTGCTTGATAGGAGCGGATCTGTTACTCAAAATTCCTTGAACTTGGAGATACCAACTTCTGGCTTCAGGATCACCACCAATTTTCCTACACCAGTAGCTTTGTGGGATATCCCCACCGGTAAGGCACCTCGTGGTTGCATAGGGTTTTGGTGACAGATATAAATTCACGTGCCATTGTGGATGCTGGAAAATCCACATAGATGTTCATTCCTTGATATAGATCTGGGAGCGTTGCGCGCAGTGTTTAGCAGGAGATCTTTGGATTTGAAATAATGGAAACTGGTTATTGTATCCTGTGGCGTGTCTGGCGCGAAACGGGGAGGTCTGGGCAGGCGATGCACCTGATCAAATGTCCAAGCGGACTCATCCAAATGTGGCACGAGGGCTTTGCAGAGGGATGTGAGGTAATGAGGTAATGCTTCTCTAGTTACGGTGTCGACTATACCTCAAAAGCGTAGGTTATTGTACTGTGATTGATCCTCGATGACAACCAATTTGTGCTTGAAAGATTCATGTTCCTTCTTAAGCCAGCTTATCCACTACCTCATTATTTGCAGTGCAAAGCTTCTCCGTTTTGTGTTCAAAGTGGCTGGTTCTACTCCCCAAGTCGGCCATTTCTTTCCTCAGGTCTGTAGCCAGTTTCTTGAAATCCGCTTGTAGTGTGGATTGTAACTCATGCAGCATGGTCTGCAGGCTTCGATCCGTTACCGGAGTTTTATCTGGCATTAGTGGAGGAGTTTCAGGCTCCGAGAGACCCTCCGAAGCTGGTGAGTATGCCGTCAATTTCAGCTGTTTAGACGGTGCCATTATTCTCTCCTGGTCAAGTAGAGTAGGATATGCAGGCAAATTGATCTGTTTAACCCCTTAAGGACCAAACTTCTGGAATAAAAGGGAATCATGACATGTCACACATGTCATGTGTCCTTAAGGGGTTAAATCAGCTTATTAGACGCTATGGGCCTGGTGGAGAACGGAGCTCTCACTCCATGCGACTTGTCTCTCTGCCAGTCGGACACGCCTCCCCGCCCCCCAAACATTATTTTCTTAACCTATCTTTTAGCTTTAGCTTAGATAGATAGATAGAAGCAATAGGGACTTTCATGGCAGTGTAACTATATAGTTTCTGAGATATTTAAAAAGAAGGTTGAAGTTTCAAGGTCAGCTTAAAATACTGTTTTTTAACCAAGTTAGTACTGTATATATATATATATGTATATATATATATGTATATATATATATATATATATATATATATATATTTGAAATTAATTTAAAAAGAACATAACATTTTAACTTTTGAAATAATAATAGACAATTTAAGGTATAACAAAAACCCTCCTTCGAGGTCATATGAATAATAATCTTTTACAATCGGCCAAGCAGATAAAGGATGGAGAGTTAAAACGCAAGATAAAATACTTTTCAAAAAAGAAGTTCTATGTTCCGTGTTAGATTATATATTTTTATAATGTTCATAAGAATGACCCTACTTCTCTTTTCTTGAAAGAACTATTTATATTTCTTAAGAAGACATTTTGCTAGTGGCTTCAGTCTGAGATTAATTAGATTTAGCAATATAAAAGTTTCATTTTATTATTCATTAAATTCATGTAAACAGTTTTGTTTTTGTTTTTTTTACATATGTGCTATTGTGTACTGAGCGGGATAATTATTTTCCTAATAGAACTGAAACATTATTATAGTTTGTTTTTTGTAGTTATGTGTACCTTTGTTGCCTTTTTACTTAAAAGATTCTCTTCATGTTCTAAAAATGGTGCATGGTTTGAAATAGACAGTGTAATCATTTCCAGGGTCCTTTACTGAATTAAATAATTGAAAGATTAAACCCTATGGACTTTGTTTTCATCCTGTTTCACAATACTTCTTTTTTTTATAATTTGTATTTTATAGAATTTTCATGAGTAAGACATAACTTTGCCATTTTATATATGGGTATCATGAGTAAAACACAACTGTATCATTATATATATATACAGTGGTAGGTAATTTGAAGCCTCTAACCACCATTATCTTGGGATATTTAGAAAGGGACAGTGCTGTAATGCTCTGTTTTGGCTGATAGTCACAGATAGTCTTCTCCTGAGGCCCATTCGGGTGTCCAGCCTTTGCCTGGTTTCCTCTTGTGTTGATCTCTGGTTATCTGGGCTGGGTGGGACACTGCTCAGGAGCGTTGGTGTGGAGGTGGTCTGTGGCTCAGCGCCAGGATGTAGCCCCCTCTGATGGTCTGGCCAGTCTCTAAACCTTGTATGTGCATGTCTCTTTTCCGCCTGCTTGTTGCTGTTTGGAGGGTGTCTCTTTCCGAGGCTGAGGACGCACGTCAAGAGTTTATACAACTCCTCGGGGTCGTCTGCCGACGTCAGTGTGTATGCCTTGTCGCCAGCTGTCACCTCCAGGGATTCCTCCACCCCCAGAGGTATTTTATTGAGCGGTCTCATAGTTTCTTTGCCACAGGTGCCAATTTACGTTACCAGCACTGGGAACGGAATGTCGCTACATACTGCCACTGTACTCCCTTCGAAGGTTATGTTTCCCTGTGTTCTGGAGAACGTCATGATCGCGTTCTTGACTGCCACATCGCGTGTCACCGCTATTACGTCTCTGGTGGTACCCGCTGGCGCCGCTGGGGATTTTCGGACTCTGAACACCGAGGTTATCAGTGGTGGGGTTGACCCCCCCTTGATTCCCAGTGAGTCTATGAGGGTCTGTGTATATTGTAGTAGGTTCTCTTTGCCTATTGCTTCTGGGATCCCCCTTAGGCGTATATTTCTGCGCCATGATGCATTTCTAGCATTGTCACTGTGCGGTGTAACTGCTGCACCTGTGAGGCCAGGTCCTCCATCTGTGCCCTGGTCTCCTGCATCTAGCTATTCTTGGCTGCCTCTTTTGCCTCAATAGCCTGGAGTTTATTGTGGACCATCCCCACCTCTGTCTGGACTTCCTGTAAGTCCTCCCTCCATACCTGTCTGATGTCCAGCAGGAGCCTCTTTATGTCCCCTTTCGTGGTGAGGGCTGAGTCCTCATCTGACCCACCTGACTGTGGCATGGGGGTTTCATCCTCATCATGGGAGTCCTCCGACGTCTCCTGTTCCTTCCTTGCCTCCGGCGCCATCTTTGTTTGCAGCCGCGGCACGGGCCTGTCAAAGGAGAGTCTGATGTCTTGAAGGCGGGGTGACTTTCTTATTTTTTCGCCCCATCGCTGGTGGGGGGTGAAGTGTGGTAGCTGGTAGGTCTTTATTTTTCCGGCCAAAGTAATATTTTCGTTTTCCGAGCACGGAGCCTTGCATAGAGACGTCCGTTCAGTCTCTCAGTTGGCCATGCCCCCTCACAATACTTCTTTACACTTCTACTTTATATATATAGTACTTATATAGGATTTAGGTAAGATTAGTCAATTTCAAACACATTGTGATTCGTCCATATATTTTGCATATATTTAACGAATATATAATATATACATAAAAAAAAAAAATACTGCTGTCCTCTTTTTCCATCTATTGGTTACTTCTTCTCACTTGGTCTGTGAACCAATTGGAATGAAAATACATAATAGTTATATTTTAGAGTACACTGATTGTCAATTTGTGCCTAATGTAAAATAGTTTTTCCCTAAAGGATTGTATGGTCGAAATTCACTCAAACCGAAATGCCACATAATCAACTCTTGAATTACCTGAAACATTTTTATTTCCCAGGTAAATCAATTCAGACAAATCAAATGTTTCTGCCACACATAATTTTACCAAATAAGTGATTCCTGTTCAACTTAGAAAAGCCAACTCATACTGCCTTGAACTAACTTTTGGATTAATGGTCAAAGTGGAACATGGTTATCATAGAAGTAATCCTAATTGCAATATGTGAAAAACCCGGAGAGATCATCACCCCTGGCTGTCGAGGCCATTGATGGGAGATCAGTCTTTCAGACTTTAATCACCCATGAAACACTACCTATCACTACCACGATAGGAGTGTTACACAAATAACTTTTCAGATAATTGCTTCCTCTTCTTGTCCCATTATACTTGGATTCCCATGGCTTGTTCAGCATAACCCCCGTGTTGATTGTGCTAAAGGGGAAATACTACAATGGGGTAAAGAATGTAAAAAGAGATGTATGTTACCTATTACTAAAAGAGTGGGTATTGTTAATCTACCTACTCCTACGCCTCATTCCTGTGTATTATAGGGAGGTTAAAAAAGTGTTTCATAAAAGTCACACTGA